AGGTGTATTAATATTAAAAGTATCAACTGTATCAACTATGAAGAATATTGTCATATTTGTTTTAAAATGTAAGGCACTCTGGTGCCACACTCTTCACACAATGATGTCTGTAAAAAACTGAAAAAGTAAAAAAAATGGGCAAAAAAAAGATATCCATATATAGAATAATGTTATAATCAAAAAAGGTTTAGGATTGTTATGCTACACAAGACTTTCTCAGTCTTTTTTTTCTCTGAAAACAATAATTTGAGTAATTGCTACTGAAGCATATGCTTAGTAATATGTAGATGATACATTGAAGGAAAAAAAAATTTCTTCACTTCTGGTTCTATTAAATCTATTTGACAATTGCATGCTGCCTCATATTTTAATAGCATGGTTTCTTTGCATTGATGCATTTTTGATGTTTTCTCTAAGAAACCTTACATTTCAAGTAATGGGCCTTTTACTTTTCCCCAATCTCATTTTTGGGGAATAGAGCCTATGTAATGTTTGTCTTCTTTTGGGTATGCTTTGCTTCTCAGTGGCTCAAGGTGGACTCAGCCTTCCATCCTTTCAAGGTCAGTAAAATGAGAACCCAAATTGTTGGAAGCTATATGCTGATTCTGTAAATTCCTTAGAGCAGGCTGTAAAGCATTGTGAAGCAGTATATAAGTCTGCATGCTATTGCTATTTACAGCTTAAAAATGGAATAGTGTATCAGATGCACCGGACTTTAGACGCACCTTGGTTTAGAGAAGGAAAGTAAGAAAAAAATATTTTGCCTCCATGGGTCCCATTTTTGCCCTCTCCGGTGTCCAGAGGCACTCTGCAGGCCAAAAAAATAGGACCAATGGAGGGCCTCTGGAGCAGTGGTGGTATTCAATTTTTTTTACTACTGGTTCTATAGGCGTGGCTTGGTAGGAGTGGCAGGGGAAGGATACTGTAAAATCTCCAGTCAGAGGTGGTATTTGCCAGTTCTCTGAACTACTCAAAATTTCTGCTACCAGTTCTCCAGAATTGGTTAGAACCTGCTGAATACCACCTCTGCAATGGAGGTCAAAAACAGGCATATTTTTGCCTGCGGAGTGCCTCTGGATGCCCAGGAGGGCAAAAACGGGATGTATGGAGGCTTTGGGAGGCCAAAAATGGGCCCTATTCGCTGTATAAGATGCTCAGACATTTCCACCCACTTTTGGGGAGGGAAGGGAAGTGTGCCTTATACTCCGAAAAATAGGTTGCAATTCAGTGTTATGATGAAACTTTTCTGTAAGTCCCCAGAGTCCTATGGACTATATGCACGTAGCTATGTATAGAAATGCAGACTAAAAATAAATTGAACAATCAAATGTCAAAAGCAAATTCAATGGACAGACTCAGTTGATTGAAAAATATAATTAAGGGCTAAGAGGAAAAAAATGTTTCCTAAAAACAGTTGAAATAGACCACTAATAATTTTAATGCACAAAATGATGACCTTAAAAAGTTTTAAAAGACTGCACAGTGGTATGCTGTTCATGCACGGCTAAGCAATTTGGCAACCACCCAGTATTTCTGACTTCAACTGCCATATGCCATAGTTAGTTGATTTATGGGCTATATCATTCACCGTACTAACTGTAGGAAGTGCACTGGATAGTTAAGTTGTCAGTTATAAACAGTGTTTAAGGATAAATAAAAGCCAAAATATAACACATGCATACACATACAAATACAAACCATAGTGAAGCAACTGTACAATAATTATGCAACATTAGATTTTGCAGCAGAAATTCAAATCCAGAAAGCAAGCACAGATGACTGATTTAGCAGGATTCATTAACTTCTTTATATACATAAGATGAGTAAAATGTAGAATACCAATAGTAGATTCTTCCAACGTAACACAAGCAAAAAACACAAGCAGCAGCTTCAGAGTTCAGAGACTAGAGCCACATCCAGGCTACTTCTAGTTTCATTTTCCAATTCAGCTACCATTGGCTGGTCCATTGCCGTGCCTATTCATTGGCTGACTTTGTTACTAAGCTGTATTCCAGTTCATAAATATACTCTGACATGCAATATTTGACAAATAAATCAAAGTAAAAGGTGGGTCTACACATTACATGCATCAGGATCTGCTAAGAAAAGCAGGTCTTCATGTCTTCTAAAGAGTAACAGAGTCAGGACCATAAAGAATTCAGAAGAATGCTGTTCAAAGGAACAGGGAAGTCACAGAATTTTGATCAGTTTAATATAATGACCTCTTCAAAAATAAAATGTCCTACTCTAGTCTCCACGCTATTATTTATTCACTTTTTTTCTACATCCTTTTCATCTTCATCATAGTTGTTGAAAGATTTGTTTTTTCAATTTTCATTTTTTCAATAAAAGCAGGAATATTAGCAAAACAGTATTCTACTTTAGTTCAGATAATTATAATTGTGCATGTGTCACTGTGTGAAATCTATACAGATAATCATTGACTTACAAAATTTGTTTAGTGACCATTAAAGTAATGATTTGCGATCAGCCCTTGCACTTAGTGACCATTGTAACATCCATATGGTCATGTGCTTGTGATTTGGGTGCTTGGAAATCAGCATATAATTTATGCCAGTCATAGCATCCTGCATTCACATGATTTTCATTTCCAGTTTTTCCAGCCACTCCTTTGGGGTGAATCATTTGGGAGAATCCTCTGGGAAGCTTGGCAGGGAAAGAAGGAGGGAGAGGGGGAAGAATGTCTTTGGGATTTGCCAGGAGAAATCCAGGAGGTGGATTTCCATCCTATTTCTGCCCTTCAAGGAGATGAAGGTGGGGAGTGCATTTAAGGGAGTGAATCCTTTGGGAGAATCCTCTGGAAAGCTTAGTGCTAAAAGTCTGTAAGATGATTCCCTTTCTCTTATGTTTGGATTGGAAGGTTTGCCTCTGCTCGAAGGGCAAAATGGATAGATGGTTCCCTTTTTAAAACTATTGGGCGGGGTAGGGAGAAAGTCCCTGGCCAGCCTGTATTCTTAGGGAACTGATGGAGGGAATGAGAGTAAAGAAAACATAAAGAGGGGGAAAAGATCCACTGGCAGGGGGTTTTGGGTGGCTGGAGCAAAAGGACAGTGCCCAAGTGTACAGGGGGCGAGACCATAACTCAAAGCTCGGGGGAAAGCAAAGCGAGGTATGGGGGGAGAGAAAAGATGGCATCACCCTCCCGCCACCACTTCCACCCACCGAAGCCTGAATGACTCACTGACTTGCAGGATGTTGTCGATGCAGCCGCCATCAAGCAAACCGATGCCCCTGTAGGAGGGCAGGCGGTTATCGTCGGCAGCGGGATCTGTCACACCACTGCTGCCACTGTTGGAGACCGTGCTGGCGAGAGACTGCCAGAGGGAACTGTGGAAGCTACAGAGGTGGCTCCCCCGCCTGAGAAGCAGCTGAAATGCTGCCGGCAGAGGAATGTGCTCGAACTGTTCCTCCACCCAATGGAAGGGCCACTTCTTCGCTACTGCCACACCGCAACGTCCAGCATGGACTCCAGCCTCTGCATCTTGCCCAATGGCAACAGTCTGAACGTGGCATAAGCAGTGGTGAGGGCAGAAGGGAAAGTGACGGTAGCGGAGGCGGCGGCAGCGGTGCGTGCCCCACTGCTGCCAAGGCCAACATCCACACTGACCCCGCTTGCCCACTGACCCGACCTTCAGCCAGCACCATACCTGGGTCTGCAGCAAAGGCGCTTGGCAGGGGTAGGGAGCCCTCTGTGCTCTGCCATGATCAGCTGTTAGGAGTGGCTGGTGGCGAGGCATGGCTGCTTGTGGGCCGCTCCTAAAGGCAAGTTCCCCCAGCACTCCCCCCATTTTGCATGTTTTAAATAGGCCTAAATTTTGGGAGAGGAGCTTAATTTCACCTCATGCCTAGAAAACATGCTGGGCCTTCCTATGGGGGGGTGTATTGTTGAAGAAACACGGTATGTGAACGACACTTGAAACTGTATTTTCTTGAAGGTTTTACACAGCATGTTTTTGATGTGAAGTCATTTGACAAGTTGACTTGCCATTATGTAATTTCCTTCCAGCAAACTGCAATGATGCCAGAATGATAACATGAATATTGTGATTATTATGCAAATGTTACCATTGCATACTTGCATCCTGATATGTCAGAAAAATAAATGATGGCATTTGCACGATGGTAATAATCTTTCCTTCTGCAGATGTCATGGTTTTTTTTCACACTATTGCAGACTGAACCAGGCTGATGTTGCAAATTAGAAGCAAATCACAATGGAAATATCTGTGCAACCTACTGTAGGGTTGCAGTACAGAATTTCAAATCAGTACTATAACTGAGAGTCTCACAGTCTTAATCTTGTTACTTATCTTTCCAACTTTGATCTATGAAAATGCATCATAACTGCATAGAATTCTTCTATGCTTTGAAAGTGCAGTCAGCCACAGCAAAGTAGCCAGCACTTAGTTTCCAAAAGGAATTAAGCTGAGAGGGTCACCTCTTACACAGTATTAAATAAATTGAATTGTCAATAATTGCCAACCACGAGTACCAAGAATATGATAAAAGCTCAGTTGGCAGCAGCAATTTTTAAGAAGGTGACTTGCATTTTTTTTTGACAGAGTAGATGATGCAATTGGGAGAAGTAGTGAAAATGAAGGTGACTGCAGTAAGATGACTTCAGGCTAAAATATTGACTTAGCTGCCAAAGGCTGGTGATGAGCCAAAGATAAAAGTCAAACAGAAATGTAATTTGCTAATGAAAGTTTTGTGTACTTCATTAAGTAATATTATATTTCTAATAAAATGAATCCCACTTATGGAACACATTAGGTACAAGTTCATATTGCATCAGATAGACAATAAATGCACCTGTTTTAATAATAGCTACTGACAAATGGATTCCGGTTTTTATGATTACATATGTAATATGCATCAATGTTATTAGCAACACTCTCTTCATTCTGTTTGGTAATTTTCAAGGGGATGTCATTTTCATTTATATGAATTCCAATGATTCCTCTCTTTCATTTTGGCAGAATCTGTATCAGAACAGGTTATTAGGCCTGGCTGCTATGGCATCCCCATCCAGGAACTCTCAGAACCGGCGTCGATGTAAAGAATCTCTGAGGTACAGCTATAACCCAGACCATTTCCACAACATGGACATTGGAAGTGGGCTCCATGGGACGGTCACCATTCCCCGCTCGACCAGTGACACAGATTTAGTCACTTCAGACAGCCGGTCTACACTCATGGTCAGCAGTTCCTATTATTCCATAGGACATTCACAGGATCTAGTGATTTATTGGGATATAAAGGAAGAAGTAGATGCAGGTGACTGGATTGGCATGTATCTCATTGGTAAGTCAGCTATATTCATAGGATTTGTTGTAACTTAATTTTGCAAGTAAAACATGTAATGTAAAACAGATTTGTTTCAAGCTGAATATAATCAAGTTTACAAACAGTGGTCTCTTTCCTCTTGTAAAGAATCAATCAAAGCAACAATAAAAGAGGTATCAAATAGAAGCAAAAAAAAAGAAAAACAAGAAATATTGACAATGTGAAACTTCTGCCAAGCCCTAGCCTAGGAAATTAGTTTAGTCTAGCAAAATCAGAAGATTTGGGATTAACTGCTGAATCCTGGTCATGAATGTCGCGTAGCAAGCCCTACTTCTTTTGTTATTTTACATTAGTAGTGTAATTCCAAAATAAATATTGCAATTAACAACACAAATATCTGTACAGAGAAAGTTTATAGGAAGCATGCAGTTCAGTGGGATTTCCAGTATTGAAGGGAAAAGGTGATTTGAAATAAACAGGCGTGCTAACTAATGACCATTCATCCAGTGACTCAATCCATTGATTGACAATCCATTTTTATTTATGACTGTTTGCCAAGCACCCTGTTATCATGTGACTGCCATTTGCAACTTTTCATGCCATTCAGAAAGTCAAAAGGGAAGCTAGCAAGGAAGATCTCGGGTTGTTAGGGTAAGTCTCTCACTCACCTGCATACCCTGTGCACTCATACAGGACCGGCGACTTGCACAACCCTTGCACAATCTCCACAACCCACATGGTACTCTCACACTATTCTAGAAATGTGCAGAACTTCTAGTAAATTTAGTTAACAAATGCAACCAGGATTGTAGGGATGGATGTTACTAAGCTATGCAGTTGCACTTTACAATTGCTTAACAATGGAAATTCCATTCCCAATTGCCATCACCAGTCAAGGTCTACAGTGTTGCACACAGAAACATTAGGAATATTTTCTGTACTAGAAATAAAAGCAAGGATCTTTCTGGAAGATGCACCAATGTTTCTAAACTTAACTGTCAACACTAATTATGCTACTTTCTTCTTTGTTTTCTTTCTAAGTTTAAAGTAACATTTTTACTCAGAAAGGCTTTGTATTTAAGTTATTCTGATCCTGAGTCAGAATTGGTGTGGGGAGGTGCTTATTTCTTAACGTAAGTGATAATTATGTTTTAATCTATTGTTTTAATATGAAGCTTCTTGATTGCTTCCTGATTGCACTAACTACACTGTGTGTTTAATATTAAGCTATGGTGATTTAATATTTTGCAAAAAAATATTTTCAGTTTTCATTTGTACTTTCTGTTTATAGAAAAACTGAGCAAAACAACTCAGAAGTCAGCAGATTATCAACAGCAGTTTTCATTCAATGCTTACTTTATTTCTATCTCTGTCTGACTCTTAAATAGGAGTAGCAATGGTAACCACCATGATTGTCATTGTTTAGTAAAATCATTGCACCAGATCAGTGGTGGAATTCATTTTTTTTAAACTACTGGTTCTGTGGGCGTGGCTTATTTGGTGGGTGTGGCTTGTGGTAATGTGACTAGGCGGGTGTGGCTTAGTGATCATGTGACTGGGTGGGTGTGCTTGGTCATGTGACTGGGTGGGCATGGCTTGGCGGTCATGTGACTGAGTAGGTGTTCTTAGTGGTCATGTGACTGGGTGGCCGTGGCCAACTCAATGTCACTCACATCAAGGGGTGCCTCACCTGGCCCCTCCCCTCCCAGCCATTCCTTGTCACACCCAGCCTCAACTTATCTATAGTTCTGTAAAAATGTTGTTCATCTTTTTTGACTTTATTATCTGCATACTATAGTACTTTCATGGACCACTGAAAGGAGGAAATGTCTCACATGCTTTACTCAAGAGTGTGATAGGCAATAGGTTTTTAAGGGGTTGCCACAAAGAAAGGGGAAGAATGTATTTTCCAAAGAAGCAGAATGCAAACAAAACGAAATGGATGGAAACTGAACAGAGAGAAGCAACCTAACACTAAGGAGAAACTTCCTGACAGTGAGAACAATTAACCAGTGGAACTGCCTGTCTCCAGAAGTTCTGGGTGCTCAATCACTGGAAGTTTTTAAGAAAAGACTGGTCACCATTTCCCTGAAACGGTATAGGGTTCACTCCAAGGTCCCTTCTAAGTATTATTCTGACACCTTTCCCAGGATTTCTACTCAGAGTTTGGCATCCTTGGTTTTCTTGCCTGAGCTGGGGGTTGGACTAGAAGACCTCCAAAGTCCCTTTCAACTCTTGTTAAACACATGTGTATTTTATGCTCTGGACTATTGACATTGAATGCATGTAAACCCTGAAAAATATGTGGGCAAAAGAAAGGCAGATAAATCACTCTAGGTGTTGGGACAGTGTAAAATATTAACACATGATAAATAATGGAATAATTAAAAATAATAGCACACAGTTTTATCTCTCTCTCTCTCTTCCTATTCTTTTCTTTCTTTCTCTTCCTTCCTCTGTCTCTCTGTCTCTCTGTTACACACACACACACACACACACACACACACACACACACAGCACTTAACAGACACACATTTTGGAAGCAGCTCCTTTAAATTTCTCCAAGGCTTGAGTGGATTCCTCCACTCCCTCTGTCAGACTGCACTCCTTCTAACTCCAGCACTTTTACTCACACGGGGAAAGCGATACTTGCAGCATTCATGGGGAATCCTTGGAGAAGTTTTTAAAAGACCTGCTTCAAGAATGCATTTCTTTTACATTGCAAAAGTGCTCCAAGGCTCAATTCACCCCCACCCCCTCTGTCAGACCGCACTCTTTCTCACTCCCGACACTTTAACTCATACGGGGAAAGCGATACTTGCAGCGTCCATGCCTTTGTTCCTTTTCCCCTGGGAGAAAGAGGATGTGGGGAATGGAAAGTTAGGAGAATGATCGCAAGTGAGTGATTGGGCAACTGGGTTGGGAGCGTGGCCAGCCAGGGATTGCCACCGTTTTGGCGACCCATGCCAAATAACCTCTACCGGTTTTCCCAAATAGGTGCGAACCGGTCGAATAGCATCTCTGCACCAGATCCAGTGATTCTGCTTTGAATAACCTGAAGAAATTTTTATCTTCTCTCAAGTTATAGATGATTAACACAAGAACTATATCCACTCTTCTTTCAAGATATTCATATTTATCTTGATGTATCTCAGAATTACAGTGGATATAAAACATCTACAAATCTGTTAAAATGTCAGGTTTTTGAGATGTTAAAAAAATTAGAACAAGTTAAATCACTTCAGAATTTTTCCAGATTTAATCTATAAAAGCAAAATACCACTCATGCATCATCACAAAATCTCCAGAACCTTAAAGCCTACAAACTTGAAATTTGGCATGTATGTTCGTTCCTCTTGGCTTCTAGGTGCTCACTGAAAGGATTTTTCAAAATGACCATCAGGGCATTAGTATTTCATATATTATTATTAAGACCCTCCGATGTTAAGGAGTTCTACTCCCCCTCCCCACCTGAAAAGAAATCTGTTCCAAATGCAAAACACAAGCAGAGGAGAGGAGTTCCAATTTCAATTTTAATTTCACAGCACCAAGCAGCTTTAGTACAGGACAGTTAGCTAAGCCATGGCCAGGCTCCTTGCTATCTTTCAATTTCCCACAATTCTCTCACACACTGACAGGACTCTAGCCAGATGAATACCGATGGATGCTGGTAGATGCATCCCCCCCTCTTATTTTCCTCCCAAAAAACTAAGCCCGATCACATAGTTTTGTAGCGAAGCATGGGTATCGAGCTAGTATAACATTTAAGCTGTTCAATTCAATTGAAAAACAAACTAAAATCTTTTTCTTGGGAAAAAAGTAAAAATAAAAATTTAGAATAATATGCTGCATAAGAGTTCAAACCTTCTTAAAAATAGGGATGTGGCTGTATTCAGAATTAATCAATCACATTCAAACTGATATTAAATAGTAATCATTACACACCTGCTATCAATTAAAGTTATTCTGATCAAGCTCATATAAAGTTCAGCTATGCCAGTAGGATTTTTCTGACTCAGTGGCCTCTTAGAGCAAAAGCCAGGGTCTGCAAAGAACATCAAAGGGGTCTTGTTGGAAGGTATTGGTCAGGAGAAGGATATAATTTTCCCCCACCCCCAAAGCATAGGATATACCATGGAACACAGTGAAGATAGCCATCAACAAATGGAGAAGTGATTACCAAGAACTAAATGCCCTTCCAAAATTGATGAAAAAACAAAAAGAAAACTGGTCTGATAGGCCTACAGCAACTTTACAGCATCTGCAAAAATTTCTTGCAACTATTGATTGTGTACCATATGTGACAGAAATTCCCGATATTCTTCAGTCGTGTATAACATGATACAGGGTGGCAAGACAAAAGCCTTTTCTTATAAAGAAAAACACCCAACCCCGAATACATTTTGCAAAAACCTAAATCAAGACTGACAAAATATGTTATGGAAAAATATGTTATGGTTTGATGAATCCAACATTGAAACTTTTTGCCATAATTCCAAAACATATGGTGTAAAACAGAATAACAGAGCTGGAAGGGAACTTTGAGGTCTTCTAGTCCAACCCGCTGCTCAGGCAGGAAACCCTATATCATTTCAGACAAATGGTTGTCCAATCTCTTCTTAAAAACTTCCAGTATTGGAGCATTCACAACTTCTGGAGATAGGTTGTTCCACTGATTAATTGTTTTAACTGTCAGGAAATTTCTCCTTAGTTCTAGGTTGTTTTTCTCCTTGATTAATTTCCATCCATTGCTTCTTGTCCTGCCCTCAGGTGCTTTGGAGAATAGGTTGACTCCCCCTCCCTTTTGCAGCCCCTGAGATATTGGAACACTGCTATCATGTCACCCTTATTCCTTCTTTTCATTAAACTGGACATAACCCAAAACAATGTTGTACATCATCAAAATATACCATACCCACAGTGAAGCATGGTGGTAGCAGCAGTATACTTTGGGGATGCTTTTCTTCAGCCAGAACTGGAGCTTTAGTCAAAGTGGAGGGACATATGAACAGTTCCAA